AAATATAAACATATACCTCAGATGCTCTATTTTATTATTACACTAACGAGGAGGAATAAACATGATATCAAATATAAACAGATACCTCAGATGCTCTATTTTATTATTACACTAACGAGGAGGAATAAACATGATATCAAATATAAACAGATACCTCAGATGCTCTATTTTATTATTACACTAACGAGGAGGAATAAACATGATATCAAATATAAACAGATACCTCAGATGCTCTATTTTGTTATTCCACTGACGAGGAGGAATAAACATGATATCAAATATAAACAGATACCTCAGATGTTCTATTTTATTATTACACTAACGAGGAGGAATAAACATGATATCAAACATAAACAGATACCTCAGATGCTCTATTTTGTTATTCCACTGACGAGGAGGAATAATCATGATATCAAATATAAACAGATACCTCAGATGTTCTATTTTATTATTCCACTGACGAAGAGGAATAAACATGATATCAAACATAAACATATACCTCAGATGCTCTGTTTTATTATTACACAGTGAATAAAGCATGTAGTTCTGCAAAAATTCCCGTACAAATAAATAAATAAAATGTTAAATCATGTTGTGTTTCTTTTTCTTTTTCCATTTCAATCCAAACGACAATCTCGTCATGTTATTTCATTCTTGTACATGGACAAAGATGGCAGCACCTGCAAGTAGTGTTCCCAGTGGAAACGAAAATCAAAAGACAAACAAACGCAGACATATAAATCATAACAAATTTAGTGATATTACTAAGAAAACACATAAATTCAAACGCGCACGTACAGTTATTAATCAACACAATAATACACCACTCGCTACACAAAGGCCGATCTGCGCATTATACTCTTGTATTCTCTAGAGTAGAGCCAAACAGAACAATAACAAGGCGAACATAATTAGCATGATCCGCGGGAACTTTCTTAATACCAATACAGCCAGGCAGTACGCGATGTTTTAAAAATATATAAACAGAAAGAGATTGCAGCTATTACATTAACATTACCTCAGGAGTTAAACAGAAAGAGATTGCAGCTATTATGTTAACATTACCTGAGGAGTTAAACAGGAATAGATTGCAGCTATTATATTAACATTAACTCAAAAGTTAAACAGGAAGAGATTGCAGCTATTATGTTAACATTACCTGAGGAGTTAAACAGGAATAGATTGCAGCTATTATATTAACATTACCTCAGGAGTTAAACAGAAAAAGATTGCAGCTATTATGTTAACATTATTTGAGGAGTTAAACAGGAATAGATTGCAGCTATTATATTAACATTAACTCAGAAGTTAAACAGGAAGAGATTGCAGCTATTATATTAACATTACTCCAGGAGTTAAACAGGAAGATACTGCAGCTATTATATTAGCATTACCTCAGGAGTTAAACAGGAAGAGATTGCAGCTATTATATTAATATTACCTCAGGAGTTAAACAGGAAGATATTGCAGCTATTATATTAACCTTACCCCAGGAGTTAAACAGGAAAACAGTTCAGTTATTATATTAACATTACCTCAGGAGTTAAATAAGGAAGTATAAAACTGAAGCAGTTTTGTTAACGCATTCCATTAATAGTATTTTATGTATATAAAGGGTCAGATAATACGACTTGTCCAACACGTCCTCGTATCGTATATATATATATATTATATGTTTGTTTGTTTCTTAACTTCGCGCAAAGCTACATGAGGGCTATCTGCACCAGCCGTTCCTAATTTAGCAGTGTAAGACTAGAGGGAAGGCA